TCTGAAACACCATTTTTAAATCACACAATCCCCAATCCTATTCTATTTTCCAGGCCCATCACCCTCTACATTAGCAAATTCGTGCGCGGCGCTCCCAGCGAATATGACGATCCCCTGGCCTCAATGGCGTCGGAGACGATGCCACTGGATGTGGGAGTATGGGTGGAGACGGCTGTGTAAGTTCAGGGGATCCCGGGGAATTGCTCTAATAGAGGGAAATTTTTTTCTGGGAATCGGGGTGAAAAAATTCCTTGAAACCCCGCCCCTAGGGTCCCCAAACCCTCTCTAAAGCCACGCCCCCATGATCCGAAAATCCCCTTTAAACCCCGTCCATTTTCAGCCAGAACACAGAAAAAATGAAGGCGTTGGGCCTGGATCCACAGGAACAAACGATGACTTCCGTCGACGATGGCACCCTCCCATTCACCTCCACGGCTTCAGATGACGAGGAAAGGATACTCTATGATCAAAGGAGGAACGGAATCCCACGTGCTCTGATGGAGGAGGCGGAGAGAAAGAGAGAGAATGAGCAGAATGAGAAGATCGAACAGCTCACCGAACTCATCGATCCGATTATTGTGGTGCGGGCGATGGCACGGCCCGATTCGGGACTAGTTGTCAAGAATCGGAAATGGTTGAAGATCCTCGTGCCGAATTCTTTTATAGGTAAGGTTTTTCGAGATTTTGGAGCCAAAATCGCTCAAAAATTTGGAAATTTCGGGGTTTTTCATGGAAATTTGATAACTTTTGAGTTGAAAACGACCTATTTTTGAAATTGTTTCACTAAAAATCGCTGAAAAACAGGGAAAGTTCCAGATTTCTCCACTTGAAATCAATTTTTCCATGCTGAAATTCCGAAAAATTGGGTGTTCAGCCTAATATTGGGCAGATACTCAACTGCTATGGGGTGCACTGCTATATTTGGCTCTTCTGCTATGGATCAACTGCTATTTTAGCCACTTTTGATGTCTGAACTGCTATGGCTGTAGTCCATAGCAGAAGAACCAAATATAGCAGTTGAGACACTAACAGTTACAACATAGTCGTTGATCACCCCCATAGCAGTTGAGAAATAGCAGTTGAGTACTTTTTGCACAAAATCGCTCATTTTTTCTCCATTTTCCAATGAAATTGACTTATTTTTCCAAATTTTTCAGTACAAATTTGATGTTTTTTCTGGAAGAAAAAAATCTATAAGAACGGTTCTGTACCTAGATTTTAGACGGAAATTGATGAACTTTCAGCCAAAGAAATCTCTAATTTCGCTCAAAAATGGACATATTTGGGATTTTTTAGCCAAAAGTAGAAGATTTCCAGTAGGAATTCAATTAATTTTGGGTGAAAAATGTCATATTATGGCCGAAAATCTACCATTTTTCGGGTTTTCAGTTAAAAAAAACCTGAAAATCTGTGAATTTCGGACTGAAAACCCCAGATTTTTATTTTAAAATTGTGATTTTCGAGTTCTTTTTTTTTCTAGGAATTCCTGTTATTTTCCATTCAAAAACCTCAAATAAATTTTACGAGTTCTGGGCTCAGACCCTTAGATTTTGATCTAGATTTCAGGCTCAAATTCAATGAATTTTCGGCGAAAAACCTAAGATTTTCACCAGAAAATTGCCATTTTTGAGGTTTTTCAGACAAAAAAAAACTGAAATTCTAGAAATTTAGGATGAAAACCTCAGATTTAGACCGAAAATTGCCCGTTTCTCGAAAATTCAACCTCAGCATCTCCCAAACCTCCCATTTTCCAGGCCGCGACCTCGTCTACTGGCTCGTCGACCACATGACCGACATTCACAGTCGAAAACACGCCCGTCTCTACGCGGCCCGTCTCCTCGCAGCCGGTCTCATTCGTCACGTCGTCAGTAAGCTGACGTTCACCGAAAAGTGTTATTACGTGTTCGGCGATGGGATCCTCCCGCCAACAGCCACCATCAACGATCGTAACTCCACAGACACCTCCGGCACAAGTGCCACAACGATGCGCGTGGAGGCGACGACTGAAGTGACGTACGTTGGATCCCCGGCACCCCATGGTCTTGCCACGAGAATCGGAAGGAATATCCCACCGCATCGCCTTGAAACGACCACTTTGAGCCCGGTGGCTCACGATCAAACATGGCTCAGACGCCGTCGTGACTGTGAGAGTCCGATGACGAATGACTACGCGTCGATGGTGGGCGAGAGTCAGTTGGGAATGGGAATGAATACAGGGAACTATCATGGATATGTGGCCAAGAATCCGAGAGTGGTGCCCGCACCGTCTCAGGTGACATCTTCGAGTTTGACTAACGGTAAGAACTAGGGTAATGTTGGTGAAAATGGCCTGGAATTTGAATCGATGGCCTAAAAATCCAGGTAGATGACCTAGAAAACCAATTAATCGAAGTAGATGAGCTAGAAGCCCGAGTCTGGCCTCGAAATCCAAAAAAGCCTGTAACTTTCAGTTGGCGGCCTAGAGATCTGGAAAGACGGCCTAGAATTCCAGGTAGATGGCCTATAATTCCAGGTAGATCGCTTAGAAACTCGAAAAAGCCTAAAACTTTTCTGTTTGCGGCCTAAAACTTCCAGTTGACGGCCTAGAAATCCGTAGAACCCAGTAAATGCCTTTTGATGGCCGCGAAACTCCCAAATTTGGCCTAATAAACCGATGAGATGACCTAAAATTCAAATATGCGGCCTAGGGATTCATAGATGGCCCAGAAACTCAAATAAATGGCCAAGAATTTCAGGTAAGTTGCCTAGAAATCCAAAAAAGCCTGGAACTTTTAGTTGGCGGCCTAGAAATTTTGATAAGTGGCCTAGAAATGCACTAATGGCCCAGAATTACTGACTGGTGGCCTAGAAATCCAAAACTCCCAGATAGATGACCTAGAATTCCAGATAGAGAGCTTAAAAATCCAAAAATTGTCTGGAATTCAAAAAGATGACCCAGAAAACCAGATAGGTGGCCTAGAAACCCAAGTCTGGCCTAGAATTTCAAATGACGGCTCAGAAACCCAAATTTGGCCTAGACATACAGATTTTGGTTCGAAATTTGAAATTTGGCTTCGACACCCCACATTCTCCCTGAACCTCCCACTCAATTCCTCCCAAGTTTCCAGGAAGCGGTGGTATTGGTGGACCTCCACCGACACCCCTCAGCAGCACTATGGTCCTAGCAGCAGTACCTTCTCCGATCCAATCGTCGCCGAACGTGGCACTCCTCATGCGCGATTTCGACGCGGAAAACAATAGTGGAAATAGCAAATCGTCGCGAATTTTACGAGCCTAATTATTGATTTCTTTTTGGAAACTAAAATTGCCTTAATTTTTATTGAAAATTGCCTTTTTCCTTCTCGCCTTTTTCTTTGAATCTTCCTCTGAAACACATGTGCTTTATTATTATTTTATTGATTTTTCTCTCAGTTAATTCATGTAATATTCATTATTTTACTCTAATTCTATATAAAATTCATGTAATTTTGTGGTTTTTAGAGTTTAGCGAGCTAAAAATTCGGAATTTTGGAGAGAAAATCGCTTACTCTGCGTCTCTCACCTCTGAATTGGGTCTTGGCGCGTCGCGGCTGCGTTGCGTGCCGTTTTTGAATTTTTTTATTTTGAGGGGTTTTTGTGGCTTTTCCAGGATTATTCGTGCATTTTTGCTTATATTTTGCGGTAATAATAATGAAAAAAAATTTTTTGGAGGGACAAGTAAAAAAGTTTTGCAAAAAACCGATTTTTTTTCATTTTTTGCTGGGATTTTCATTTTTATGGGTTTTTTTCGCATTAAAATTCTAATTTTTCACCTCAAAAATCGAAGAGAAATCGATTAAAACCGGGAAAAATAAATAAACTGGCGAAAAATTCAAAACTGCGCGTCTGAATCGGGAAAGCACAAAGAGGCCGCTAGAGCGCGTTTGCCGAATTCTGAAATTGAAAAAGCGCAAAAATTAGATCGAAATCGGGTTGAAATGAAGAAAAGCAGCTAAAAACCTACGAAAAATTCAAAATTGCGCGTCGGAAGCGACAAAACAGAGCGCAAATGGGAGAAGCGCAGAATTCTCAATCGAGCGCATTCGCCAA